CAGGAATCTCAATTTTATTCAGCACCACCATCAGTGAAGGGGAGAGATAAAGGAATAAAAATCAAGTTTCTCAGATTGCTCAGAGGGACTAGTCAGAGTTTATTTCCTAGAGAATAATTCAAAAAGGGCAAAACATCTCCTTTCAGAGAGAAAAAAAAGCATATGAAAGAAGTTATTTTTTAAAAAACAAATTCATAAACAGAAAACCTTCTTAAGAGATTTGGGTGTGGGTAAAGAGGTAGAAGTATTTTCACCAAGAAAAGAAATTCTTTTCAAGGTATATTAGTAAGTGAAGGCTCAGAGGAGATGGGATATTTGTAACTATTTTCTTTAAAAAAAATTTTTTTTGGAGGGTCTGGTCATGGGGCCTGAACTCTGGGCCTGGGTGCTGTCCCTCAGCTCTTCAGCTCAAGGCTAGCGCTCTACCACTTGAGCCACAGCGCCACCTCTGGTTTTGTTCTTTTTGCTTATGTGGTGCTGAGGAATCAAACCCAGGGCTTCAGGCATGCAAGGCAAGCGCTCTACCACTGAGCCACCTTCCCAGCCCACTATTTTCTTTCTTATACCAATGAAAGAAAAAAAGAATTATGAGTAATGAAAAAACGATGTGCTTTCTCCCCTCCCCTATTGAAATGAATAGGAAACACAAATTATTAAAAAAAAAAAAAAACACATTCAGCTGCTGTAGAAATAAGGCAGCAATATGTAGGGATGTCAAGGATTTTTTGCTAAGTACACATCGCACCATACGGAAGGTGTTTACTGGGCAAGTGTATTAGTTTGCTTCCTCTTGGAGAAGGAAATTGCAAAGTCAAGAAGATGCCAGAGTCAACTGAATGGCTCTAAGTTTTCTCTCTGGCATTGTGCCCAGACACGGTAGAGAACTAAAAATGCCTGGCTGGGGAAAACTTCATCATCTCCACCTCCAGTATCATCATCTCAACCTCCACCTCCACCTTCTTCTCCATCTCCACCTCTACCCCCATCTCCTTCTCTATCTCTGTCTTCATCTCTCTATGGAGGTCCAGCACATAGCAGGCAATCTACTACTACGCTGTTGAAGGTGCTTGAGCTAGAACAGATTGTAGTTTATATGATGTAGATATTTTTTTCCTTTCCTTTCTTTTAAAATTCAAGGACTTAGAGCCATGATACAAATCTCTGACACAGCACAGACCATTTCCCTCTTTGCTAACAACTGAGAATACAGATGTAATTCCCTGACCAAACTTTAAAAAAGTCTGAAATGTTCCAAAATCTGAAAGTATTTGAGCTCTAACATGATGGCACAAATGGAAAATTCAAAATTTGACCTCATGTGAGAAGGTTGTAGTCAAAGTCAGATACACAAGAAGCAATGAAAACACAGTTTTTCTATTTTAAACATCAAATTACATTGGGAGAATGAAGATATTAGTTAAAGAATTGGAAAAAATATTGTAAAACACATATTTGATAAAGAATATGTGTCCCATATATACAAGTTACTCCTAAACTTGAAAAAATGGGCAAAAGATCTGAAGAGCCTGCTAACGATACTGCGAAACATGCATTGAGTGACAAATGTAAACAATTTGCTACCTTGCAGTTCTAAGGACACAGATCATTCCAAAACCTGGCTATTATACCAAGTGCCACAGAAGATACAGAACAAAAGATGGCGCATTTGTTGTTGGTGGAAAGGCAAAATGTTTATTCACTTTAGAGGACAGATTCGCAGTGTTTTACAAAATTAATCTCAGTCTTTGTAGTTATTGTACTTCTGGTTATTCAAAGCTGAGTTAAAAACTCAGGTTCTTAGCAAAGTAGTGCATGGATGCACTAGCTTGGGATGGAGAGGCAGAAGATCACAAACATTAAAATGCATCTATCGCCATTTATGTAGCCAATTGGCTTTAGAAATGGATTATAGAATATAAGTATGATATTCACATCTCTTTTTGTGTGTAAGAAAGTGACAGGCACAGATAGGTGTGTGTGTGTGTGTGTGTGTGTGTAGATAAATAGATACAGAGGGGGAGAGACAGAGATATTTGTGATATCAATGCTCTTTCAGTCACAGCTGAGATGATAGGTATTCTTGTTTATTATCAAAAACAGTGCCACAATTTGCTAAATACTGTGTGCAAATGTCTATCTTGAGAATTATTATTATACTATTTATGTCTTGGCAAACTTGCATTTTAGCCTTCATCACTTCAGCCTTGAATTGAATTAAAAGAAATTGTGGAAATAAAGAGACAACATTAAATCTTGTTCACCTGTACAGTGAAAGGAGTTCAGAGCTAAGAGAAAGGCATATTTGCATCGCGTCCATTCCTATTCATATGGCTTTGTGGAAAAAAAGGAGACCCAGGAAATTTGAGGCAATAAGTTCTCCTTTGCATGTAGCCCCAGAAATGGCTTCAAGGGTAAAACAAACAGTATATTATAACAGAAGCTCTGTCCTCTAAATTCTACCCTGGGCTACCAGGTGCTATGTTCTACCACAAAGGCCCCTTGTCAGGGTGGGTTTGGGCCAAAGGGTTAGCCACCAACACAGTTAGAATTCCTTATAGCTCCTTCCAAGACTCAAGGGCCTGTTCTGCTGATACTGCATACTTTTTTCCTAAAGAGATTACCAGCATAATCCTAAATATTATGGGACCCAAGCTATCTTATTTTTGAGCTCATCAGAGCCAGCATGCTGTTCATAATCCCAGGCAGCTTTACTCCGTGTTTATGTAAGCTGGTGAAGTTGTGTGAACACGGGCACATACCTTTTCGTTCCCTGAAACACCACCACTGTGTCATTGTTTAAAAAGATAAGAAGAATAGATAGGAAATTTCCAACTTTTGAATGGTTTTTCCTACAAGAACATTCATAACTGTCATTTGTAACACTTGGCTGTATCTATTTTATTTGATTTTATTGTGCTGAGGCTTGACTTAGTACTTAGTACTAAGTACTTCACACTCTCCTTTTTTATTTTTATTTATTTGCTCAAGTACTTAGTTTCACACTCTCCTTATTTATTTGTTTATTTGCTCAAGGCTTGCACTCTACCACTTGAACCACAGCTCCACTTGTAGCTTATTGTTGGTTAATTGGAGATAAGAGTCTCATGGACATTTTTCTGCCCAGGCTAGCTTTGAACTATAATTCTCAGATTTCAGCCTCCTGTGTAGCTAGGATTACAGATGTGAGCCACTGGTTCACAAATGTGATGTTTAAATGGAGATTTTTGTGGTCATTTTTAATGCTGTTTTTTATGTATGCAATAATTTGTATCAAAGGCATTCGGATGCTACCAGGTGGATTACATTTTTGTGGTTTTTGTTCACCCATTTCTCTGAAGGTCTGAATTAGTTATAAAGCTGAACAGATCCTTAGTTATTTTTAAAAAATGTATTAGAGGAAAAATACTGGTAAAAAATGGAAATTGCTAAGCATAGTACCAAGGATTTTGCAATAATTAAAAAATTTCTGACTCTTTAAGAATATACCTTTGAATCCCACTACAATTTAAAGAGAATAGCATCCATGTTCTTGAACACATTTGTTTAGATGTTTATGTGTCTATGTAAGAAAATCCATAAAATGAAACATTGTGTTTGGTAAAACTACAATAAGAGGTAACAGTGTGTTTAGTGTTTTTGTATAAAATCATGGAAGAGAGAAACATATCTGTTCACCTGTGAGCCTCCCTTAATTGTGATTGAGACCCAAAGAGGATTAAGTACATAGATGTTAATATGTCCAGTGATACTAATTTCTACACAACAATAGCAACAATATCCCGAGTAAATCTGTCAATAGGGAGGATAAACAGTCATTTAAATACTCCATTGATGTCAGAACTACAACCTGTTGTCAATGACTTCCTTCAATAGCAAAAATCTTCAAGTACATAGACTTTGACATTGGTCCCTTGTAGCATAGAGACAGTATCGATTCTTTTTGAAAAATATAGGGATTAGAAGGTCCTAAGCATTGTGGAAAGATGTGTTTCTGAGTTTAGAGGTATAAAGAGCTTCATTTGATTAGTTCTTTTTTTCGGGGGGGGGAACAATTGCAAAGTTATCATTGTTTGAAACACATAATTATGTCATTTTACATTTTAATATTTCCAGCTACTGCTGTTAAGAAATTTGATGTAAGCATTTTACTTTAAAATATTTTAAAAAATAAGTATGGAGACATACCTATGATGTCAGGAAATGTGTGTTTATGGAATTCTGTCATGACTTACTTAAAGAAAAATTTAAAAGGAACCTTCCCCCTCCAATTTTTTTTAAAGAGTTGATAACTCTTTGACCAAATAAAATGTTTTCAAATGGATTTCTTACACATGATGAAAGTGTCTGGCATAAATCATACATCTCATTGATGTTTTTTATTATTAAGAAGTTGTACGAAGAGGTTTCAATTCTGTAAGTCTGACTATGAGTACAATGCATCTTGATCAACACCACCCCTTCGACCAGTCTCCCTGTTTTTACCACTGCATCCCTAACCTCAGGTTACAGAGCTTAAATTTTATATAATGCACATTAAACATAATGCTGCATTTGCTTACCCTTCCTCCCTCCATTCGTGTCACATGATTGGTTTGGTTTCTAATTACAAAAATGATCTTAGCTATAGATATATTAGTGGCTGAAATGAAATAACAAAATTATGACAAGGGTGTTCATGTTGTTAAATGAATGAGAGCATGTGATGGTTAAATTCCCCCTGCCCCCTTACATACGTGTGGTAATTCACCTAAGGATACGACAAGATTTGTATTTAAACATCATCTTCAGTATCAAATTAAGCTGGTTTGTAATACATATTCTCTAGTCACAAATGAATTTATTGTCATCACACACACACATATACACACACACACACACATACACACACACACCCCTAGCCACCCATGCATATTGCTGAGAGCTTCTAAACACTGGCTTTCTTGCCTGACATTCATTCACACAGCTAAACATTGGGAGAAAGAAGCAAATGTCACACTCACCAGTAGCGTCAGCTTTACTTTTGAGGTGGTTCTCACACATTTTGATGGAGCAACTAAAAGCCACACTGAGAAAGATTCCACTTTTCACTTGAGGTCTGACAACCGCCCCTCCATTATCCCATAGCTAGATTTCCAACAGACCGCATTAATGAGATTAAATGAAAGAGGAGTTAAAGGCACCAACTGCTCCATTTCATTAACTAAAGGTGAAAGGCTGCTCACTGGAGGAGGCAGGAGGGAGGATCTTCGCTTCTTTTTTGATGACTTATTTGCCAAACAATCCAGCATTCGCTAAATTGTAATCAGCAGTTTAAACTCATCCTTCTCCAGAATCTTATAGCTAGCTACACTTTCTGCACTTAAATTCCACCTTTGCTTTCATCCTTTAAGAAACAGCTCTAATATGCATATGCCAACCTAGAAGTCTGACATGGATTTACTCCCAATATTTTGGACACTCTTATTGATGTGTAGCATTGAAGAGTTGCATAAGGACATTAATGGTTCCCTGTTCTCCCAAGTACCAGTTCACAATGATCTGTGAGAGATTCCACACACATCTTACGGTTGAAGAAATTAACGTGTGACTTATAGCAGAAGCTATAGTCAATTTAAGAACTTAACACTAGGCAAGTCACTTGACTCCAATTCTGAAGTCAGATCTGGCTGTTTTCTCCCAGCATGCCTCAGTGCTCCCCGCCCCCAAGATAAACAATTTTTTGATCCTCAACCTTTGTCACCGGGAAGGATAAATATATAAAAATGTAAAATTGCTTTGACCTCTACAGCAAAAAAAATGTGCTTTTATGTGAGGGCAAAATGCTTACATAAATGTCTGCTTTATTTAACTTTTGCTTAGAGCTGCTATATTGCTTTGATGATGAGCCTCAAACCTTTCTCTTCATTCCTTACACCCCTTTCACCCTTGTCTTTGGCAGCATTCATTTTCTCTTCCCTAACTGCTCATTACAAATGGTTTCTTATCTCTCTCCTTTCTGCCTTCTTTCTTAAAAAAAAAATCTCTGCTTTTCCTTGTGACCTACATTATAAGTGCAGAGAAGATGCATTCTGAGTTTTGAGGTGCTGGGGCTTAAGCCTAGGGCTTTACACCTTCCGGGAAAGCACAGTACTGCTGAACCACATCCTCTGCCCTCCGGACGGTGCTGAGGCGGGTGGTGAGTTAGTAATTCCACGCAATTACTATGTGGCTCTCAGCTCTGGATGTGCATTGGAGAGCATACAAACATCCATACCCAGGGATTGCTTCTCCCCAACCCCATTCATTGATTTTGTGTGAAGCCAAGTTATCTAGAGCTTTAATCACTGCTAAAGTGGTCCTAACAGATCTCCAGCTATGAAGATCCCTGAACTCTTTTTCAAAAAGCACAAGAAAGGTAGGTGCTGGTGGCTCATGCCTGTGATCCTAGCTATTCAGGAAGTTGAGATCTGAGGATTGCAGTTGGAAGCCAGCCCAAGCAAGAAAGTTGGTAAGACTCTTATCTTCAGAAAAAGCTTGAAGGGGAGCTGTGGCTCAAATGATAGAGCTCTAGCCTTAAGCAAAAGCATCTCAGGCCCAGAGTTCAAGCCCCTGGAACAGAAAAAAAATCCCACAAGAAATATGATTCTTGTCATGCACCAACTTAAACAAAGAGGATTAACCCTCTAGCCTCATTTGCTTTTTAAAATTTGCTTTAGTTAACTTTAAACCATACTAATAGTGGACTCACACAGCTGAATAATATAGTCTTCCATTAGCTTTGCTGTAGATAACACTGCTGATGTATAGATCATGATGAACCATTGGCTAATTAATAGCCTGGCTTACTCTTCAAGGATTTGTCATTTCAGTGATTGGTAAAGGTCATGGTGGACAAAGTAGACTCAGTTTGGCAGCAAACCCACTGAGTCAGAACCTAAGGGTCTTGGAACTATAGCAATACCCTTTAGGGTGTTAGTTATGATTAGAAAAATTCTGGGAAAGTTCAACAAAAGTATTGGTCTTGGAGTTAGCCTATCTGGCTATGAATTCTTGGGTAAGCTGATCAATTCTAGAGCGAGTGAAGTTGCGCAGTCTCAGACTGCATATCTTTTTTTATTGTGAAAATACTGTACAGAGGGGTTACAATTACATGGGCAAGATAATGGGTACATTCCTTATCAAGCATTGTAGCCTCCTCCTTTGATTCCCCTTCCCACCCACCCCCCATATCACACCCTCCCCCCTGCCAAAATTGTAAAGTTTGTTTTTCAACATAACGACTTGTACATCTCATTGTTGCAATGGAAAAAACGATTTGTTTTTTCCCTTCCCCTCCACAAATTATACCAACATCAAATACAGTGAAAGCAGGGGTTATACCATGGGGAAGGGACATACAAAGCAACAAAGAAATCGTCTTATAAATATGTTAGAAACAATTGCATGAAAGAAAAAAACATTTGAATACTTATCTTGGGGTTCATTTCACCTAACATCAACTTATCTGATCTTTTCTGCTTGTCTCAGACATATACTAGTTATTGCGAATAAGGGAAACCATGGGACCTATGTTTCTTTGGACCTGGTTTACTTCACTTTCAGACTGCTTCTCTTTTACAGGAAATAGTAACCGGTCATGTAAGGAGTAAATCTGGGACTGTGTAGCCCCAGAATGTATTGGACATTCGGTAGCTAGCGTTGCAAATGAATCTGTCCACCTATGCTTTTCCCATTGGTTGTTCATTGGTTATTGCTCATTAATTCACTCATTCAATATTCATTAATTAGTAAGTGATGCTATTGGCATTTGGTATTGGGAAATAAATCTGATGTAGTACACAGTCTTTCATATTACATTAAATCCAGTTAAAACCTATGGAGTTCAGTATCTCCTCTTATTGTCATGCATATCTTTCTGTGTAACACTAAAAATATCATACATGGAAGAACTGTGGAAAGTAAGAAAGCTATGTAAGGGTTTCCTCACCCATTAGTTTTTGTGAAGATATTGGGTCTTGAACTAAGCATCTCATACTGTCTTATGGCTGAGGCTCTACTCTCCAGCCACATTTGTAGTTCTGGCTGTTTTTTTTTTGTTGTTGTTGTTGGGGGAGGTGTTTATCAGAGATAAATAGGGATCTTGAGACTTTATTTTCATGGGTTGGCTTTGAACTACAGTCCTTAGATCTCAGCCTCCTGAATAGCTAGAATTATGGGCATGAGCCACCCAAGTAAAGCTCTTTTGTGGGGAAGCAAGTAGATTTGGGAGTTCCCAAATGTTTTGTGTATATAGTTCAAAAGTGGAGACAGAATTGGTCCCTGTGACCTCCTTAAAAGTTGACTCATTCTCGCCTTGCTTGGAATGGAATTTACAGGCACCATTCACAAGCATTGACAATCAAATCAGGAATAGTCTCTTGAGTCTTGAAAAGAAAAACCTGCCCTGGTCATCCAGACAGAGATATGGAAAGCTATCTGGCAGGATCTTCATGCACAGTTAGTTACTAGCCTCTAGAAACAAAGGCAGCCTGGGTGATGGGAGGGAGGAATCCAGTGCCAGCATTCAGGAAGGAGGGTCAAGTGGTTGGCATTTCTCTAAAGTCGTAACTTTCCTTTCCTTTGTAAAGTCTTTCTGGTCCTGGAGCATCCACGAGATATACTCAAGCTCCTCCTTGGCTGGGCTTTCCCGACCTGGGACAGCTCTCTTCAGGGAGTCACCCGTGACATTTACTCTTCTGCCTTGTTCATATCACATCTTTTGCCTCTTTAATGCCTCTCTCTACTCTGCTCCATCTATCCACATTTATCCTGGTCTTCAAGACCCAGGCTTAGCATCTACCACCTCTGTAGCATCTATCCACAGCAATTTCTGTTTACTCTGGGCTCTTAAGTGGTTTTTTTTTAACCATTCATCTAGTCCTGTCCTTCTTCATTAATCCTGTTTATATGCTTACCTTTCACCTTGCATGTAAGCTCCTTAGAGATAAAACCCTCTCTGTGTGTGTATATGTGTCTCTTAGCATCTAGCATAGGGACTCATAAACATGTGGAGTGTATGAATGGATGAGTGTATTCTGGCTGATTCACTATAACATCAAAGGATCAACAAGTCTCATGTAAATCTCATGTTATCTCTGTGCTTCTCTAACTCAGGTTTTATATAGACAAACCATCTTTTGTGGTATGTTTGCTTGCTTGCTACTGTTTAGTGGGAAAGAGGAGTAGGTTAAGAAGAAAAGTGATTGGTTCTTCTTGTTCTTTATCTAATTATAATTGGCTAGTGTAGGAAAAGGAGGTTGGAACAAGGGAAAAAAATCCCTCCTCTTAACAAATTGTTTTTCTCTTAAATTTCCTTTCATTCCCATTGGCTGGTATTTTACTTGCTTTTTTGGGATGTTATTCCATTGGTTTGAATCTTTCTTACATCCTAGGATGAATTTCTTTCTGGTTAGGGGTGTTTTCAATAGAAGCAGGAGGAAGTCGCTCTGTTCCCTTTCCCTTGACTCCCATCCCATTGGAGGTAGCAGCTATTGAACATTGTTGACACCAACATGGAGCGTGGGATCGTCTCTAGTATCAGAGGGGTGGGATAGAAAATTTCTGTAAAACAGAAACAGTCCTCAAGATCTCAGGAGGAAATGAGGGACCAATCTCTTTAACCCTTACGCCATGTCAGTGAAAAACAGCTTGATGCTATAGGAAACGATTCCAGTGCGGTATCTGGTTGATGATGTGTGATCTCTGACCCAGCAGCATCGGTGCTATCATTGAGAACGTATGAGAAATGCAGATTCCTGGGCCTTGGTCCAGATCCACTACATCTGACAGCCTGAGCCGGGCCCAGCCATCTGTGTTTGCACCAGCCCTCCAGATGGTTTTGATGCATGCTTCTGTTTCAGAGTGACTGGTGTGCAGCCAGGGCTCCAGTCAGAATGAGCTACTTTGAATTCGCAGCTCTGTCACACAGTAGTGGGATGAGCTGGATAAATTATTTAATCTTCAGATGGTTTGGTTTTCACCATCCATGAAATGGTGATGTGATGCCCTGAATGTTTGTGTCC